AGTGACATGCGATGGGATGACAGAATACAGCTGTTCAGGGAAAGACTCTCCTCTCCGTTTCCCAGTGTCGCACATACTAGAGCAGGCAGCTGTAGAAGAGCTAAATATCATGGAAGCTGTTTCCAAAGAGGTTAAAGGAATTAATGCCAACGGACCTGGGGGTTGGGCTAGATGACCTCTAAAGGTCCCTTCCAACCCAAAACATTCTATGATTCTATGACTTGCAGTTTTAAGTGACAAATCAAATACCTGCGCTAAGACTCAGGTGCACAGCTTTACTTTTTGGTAATTGTACGTGTAGAATTGAAACCAAGCAAAGGAAAAGCCGACCCTCACTGCAGGTGTGTTAACACTCCCCCTGGCTGTGCTTTGCTGCTTAGAGACTACACAGCCACCTCTGGTCGTCATCTGTGACAACGACAACATCAACACACATTTTATTCTATTTTTTTTATAATAGTCTACCGATCTAATTTAAAGATACTACAAATGTCAGCACTCCACAAATAGGAGAGAGACGCAGCGCAGTGCAGTACCACCCATGGCACTACGCTGATAAAATAGCTCTGTGTAATTAAAAACAAACCAGCGGTAACAGCGGATAGAGAAGGAAAGGATCTCAAAATCAGGGCAGTCTACAACAGAGGACATCCAACATTAAATGAATACTGCCCTGGATCTTATTATAAAACATCTATTACATCTATTTTTAATTCCAGCAGCTGCTTGTGATAGATTTATACAAATTTGTCAATTTTCGTGCTTGCTGGAACATGATACAAATTACCCAACATTATGAAGTTGTATTTTACTGAGCTCTTAAGAACACTATATTGAATATTCTCAGCTAATTCTTTCACAGAAAATAGGCTTCAGAATTTAAAACAATTGTCAGTCTCTGCTCAGAATAGGATTAGGAAAAAGCCTGCATGGAAATGGAATTACTTCTCACATGAAGGAAGGAATCATTAGAGCATCTGGTGAGGCTTAAATTATGACTGTCTATTGAGTTGTATTGCTAAGCAGATTTTAAATTAAGTGTTTCATAGCTACTTAATTTAAAAACCTATACCCTAAAATACTTTATGTAATATAAAGTACCATCTTCTTTGTAGGCTTTTTCCTTCACAAAACCCACTTTTTCATTATGGATACTGTGGTTTATCCTCTCAGAGATGCTTGCACTCCGATGGCAGAGCCAGAATAGGAATTTAAATATAAATATTCTGCTTTGGCATCATGGAGCAAGCCGAGTCCATCAGTGCTGGCTAAATTTAATAATAGTGGCCAACAGACTTCATAAGGTAGGAAAAAGGACAATGTATGCCTCAAAACAGCAATCTTGTAGGAAATACGTGTGTTTGTCAGTATTTATTCCTATTGCTTTTCTTGATAATGGAAACTTTATAACAAATCCATGTATTTTGAGAAGAAATCAAGTTAAAATACTTCCTTTATGGTGCTTAAGCCTGCCAGGGAACCCAAGGTTGTAAAGGTCCTGAGAAGAAAATGTTACTGTACCAGCAGTAAAGTCTTAAGGGAGAGAGACTGCCCCGGGCTGACTCTTCCTTCCAGCCTGCCCATGTCCTGGCCCCACAGGACATTTCACAACAGATTTTAATACATTTTTATAGTAGGGTTTTTTGACTTAGAAGCAATCATGAGCATAGTGACAAATTAAATCCCAGCCTTGGTGGCCATTTTTGCCTATTGTCCAGATGTACAGTTTTCTACCTGCAAAATAAGATCATCAGTCAACATTACATATAAAAACTGAGAGAAAAAAATAAATCAAAATATTCCCTAACCCTCCTCTTGTTTTTCTAGTTGTTTTAAATTTAAATTCCCCTCCTTCACTACAATTTCTACACTATACTAATACGGAGCATCTGGCTACAACAAGGCTTAAAAATAACAGCGTGGAGTATCTTTGGCCTATGTAAGAATCTCATATTCTATATGGGAACATTCAAGGCCAGGTCGGATGGGGCTCTGAGCAATCTGATCTAGTTAGCAGTGTCCCTGCTCACTGCAGGGGGGTTGGACTAGATGACCACTAGTGGTCCCTTCCAACCTTAAACATTCTATGATTCTATATATGATATAATATATATCATATTGCCTTCTTGGTTTGCTTTTTCAGTTGATGAGTGCATCCATTTTCTGTACCTATCTTTACATTAAATCCAACTATAAAAATACAGGTCCAACGCCGCTGGCACCCAATGGTTGGTATAACCAGCATCCTTCGCGGACTGCTACCCTACCACACTACAGTTGGTTGGATATTGTTTGGTTATTATTTGTAACGCTGCCCAGCTCAGATCCCACGCGAAGTCTCTCCTACAAGCCATACAGAAACCAACAATAGCTACTAAGAGCTTATGTCTTTGGAAGAACTAAGAGTTTCGAACATGCCAGCACTATGTGTTTGTTCCAAGGTCTCTCTTTGTATTTGGCACATTTCAAGTGTGGCTTTGTTAGTCCTTCACACAATAAAAGATAGATAATTTGACAGACAATTTCAATGCGACAGATTCTTTTTTTCCTTGTTTTCTGCCATTCACCCCTATTGCCTCCTTTCCACGTGTTAAGCAACAACAGAAGTCTGTCTGCCTTCAATAAGAGTATCAGCAATATTTCACAACTAAAAATTAAGCAGCAATGTTAAAATCTTGTTGTAACTATGCATGTCTAGAGAGATGACGAATAAGGCACCCAGATGTCACAGCAGATCATTGAAACATTGCATACATGGAGTGCCAGAGAACTTCTGGGTCTTTACAGAATCACAGAATGACTTAGGTTGGAAAGCCCTTTCAGATCACCAAGCCCAACCATTCCCCTACCCCTGCCACCCCATCACTAAACCCTGGCCCTCAGCACCTCATCTGCCTGGCTTTTAAATCCCCCCAGGGGTGGGGACTCGACCCCTTCCCTGGGCAGCCCCTTCCAGCCCCTGACAGCCCCAAGGGGAAGGAATTGTTCCCCATGGCCAACCTCACCCTGCCCTGGCACAACTTGAGGCCGGTGCCCCTCGTCCCAGCGCCCCTTCCCTGGGAGCAGAGCCCGACCCCCCCCCCCGTCTCCCCCCTCCTCTCAGGCAGTTGTAAGGAGCGATAAGGGCTTCCCTCAGCTTCCATTTCTCCAAGCTGAACAACCCCAGTACCCCCAGCTGCTCATCGCAAGACTTGTGCACATCCTTCCTTGGGTCTTGAGATGGGTCTTAAACATCAGGGAGTCAATCTGTCTCAAAGATGCCATTACAGATGGTGAGAACCACCTGTGAGAAGGCTGGAAAAGGCTGGTGTAGGGAGGAGCCTCACGGCACATAAAGGCTCCTTTTACATTTCTGAGTTGTAAAGTTGACGTGAGACATTGTGCGCCAAGGTACCGAAGGTTGCTGCTTCTTCTCTACCCATGGCTGCCACCTCTTCTGATAAGCCACCAGACCACATACTTAGCCTTTTCATAACCCAATTAAATCAAAATAACCCAGTTGAGTTTACTTTGAACCGTGAGTTTTAATTTTGAACCACAGATGTTCATAAACTCAAAGCATTTTGACAAAAGCCAAGCCACATGGATATACACATGCAGTTACGCTAGATGACTACAAGATTACTGAGCGTTGGTAACAACCGGCTGTAACAGGCCTGGCAAGATAAACTCTTCCTGGCCCAAATATAACGAGAGGAACACATCTCATTTTGGAACAGCAGTAGAATAAAACGGAACAAAATCAGAAACCGGGAACATAGGGAAAAGCTCTGAAGTGGAAAACAAAGTATCATACTAAAAACCAGACCAAGTTTTTGAGCAAGGTAGCATAACTCACACCACACTAGGATCTACGATTTCAGAGGCCAACATTTGCAAATGCTTGGGAAACTCAGGCTCCGTGTCTACGATTTGAGATATGAAGAGAGCAGGTATTTAAGACAATGTCTGTGATAGGTAACAGGAAAATAGCTTCAATCCAAATTCTGAACACTCATTATCACTGCCAAGGGTATGAAAAGAGGGTGAGTGTCAAGCAGGGAAAAGGTAATGGCAGAATGCATTCATCCTGCTTACTTGTCCATACTTCTACAACCATTTCCAAAAGGGAAGTGGCTCAGAGAGAATTAAATCCTTAAGAACAGTGGTTTAAGAACAAGATGCATCTCTTGTTACCTCAGTCCTTTACAAAGCATACAGGTGCGCAATTATAATTTATTTATTTTTGGCACACTGTCTCTACTTGACAAGCTCTGTAACAGTTATTCCAGACCGCATTAACAAGGACCTTCCCAGTTTTCCTTGGGAGAGTGGAGCAGGGCTGGCTGCCAAGAGAAGGATGCCCGACGCATGATTACCTGCCCTTACAAAGTGGTCTGCAGCGCAGACACACAATAGGAAGGACCAACTTCAATATCTACTTCTTTAAAGTTATGGTCCTGTTTTCAAACCAGAGCAGATACTGACTATTTATTACTACACAGGCTAATAAACTTTATCCCCTGAAAAGTAGGTTTTATTGCCCATATTCGTAGGGCCCCGTCACAAAATGATCATTGCGTTATGCCTGATTTAACAAATAGAACTTTTGCCAAATACACAGGAAGAAGTAAAGCAAGTTGAAAATCCAGTCTGCATAGTACTTGAGAATCACCACCCGGTGCTTTTTTATAATAAAGCGATACATGACTAAAAATATAATTCACACAAATCCCTGAAAACCTTCCAGTTTGAAAGCAGCTACCGAGCTGTTGCTGTTAAGGAGAATCAAAAGTCAGAAGTTTCTCAGACAGAGAAACTAATGTTATTTGTGCATTGAGAACAGATTCAAGTATAAAGCAATTAAGCTTTGTTCTGGGATTATTTAGTTATTCAGTTATCATTTCAGCTATTTAGTTCATCAGTATCTATTAAGGCATATAGAATTCAAGTTCCCCTACTCTTGAGTTTCAGCAAATATGGGTTTCAAGAGAAGTCTGTTTCTGAAGTTTTATATTTACCTGATGATCCTCTGTGCAGCATACTGATGAAGTGAGCGGAACTGTGCTGACATATTTGCTAAGGCTGCCAGACAATTTGTATGAAGGTATTTGTCCTGTCAGAAAGAGGAAAGGAAAAAAAAAAAAAAAATCACATCAGATTGTCCTTTTGATATCCACTGACACCTACTGCAGGACTCATTCAAAGACAGAGTAATCTATGTGGCATTAAAAGACGTGGTCAAGAACATAGAGCAGAAATGCAAAGTCTATGTACTTGGTGATGTTTTAAATATGTTTTCTTGAAATATATGGCTTATGAAAGATTGACTATTTCATACAGATTTCAGAGTGTATATGTGTGTGTCCTCATATCAGGTTTTCACAGAACCAAACCTGTCCACTTATCCAGTCCAAAAGGGATTTATTTTCCCTATTTAAGTCTAAAATATGCATTTATATAACATAACAGATTCCAAACCCTACAAATATATGCCAAGTATGTCCTTGTTTCTTCCAATTCTTTTGATCATAAAAGTAAAACCCTGAAGTTTTCAGATTTAAAAATATGTTTAAATGCTTTTTGCTATGTTTGCATGTAAAAACTTCTGTGCCTTTAATCGCTGATGATATCTAGAAGAGTATGATACCATGCTTACATGTTACAGATAAGGTATAGAATCAAATGCTTGAAAAATGCACAAAAATAAGGTTCTAAACTGGAAGCAGTTTTGCTTTGCTAGAGCTCAAAAAGGTTTTAAGGCCCAGTCACTGTCCTACTTCATAAAAACACTAACAATAAATAGAGCTGAAATTCCCACTTCTGAGTGACTGAAGAGACAAACAGCCTATAAGGAATCGTTTCTTGTCATCAACCTAAGGAGCTTTTCCTTCTCAACTGAAGATGAGCAGTTCAGTGCCTGAATCATGGAATTCAGATAAACTTAATTAATTGAATGATAATACAGAGATGGTGTTACAAGTTCAGAACTTTGTTAATATGGCTGATCTCCCCATTCCTGCCCTCCTGTAAATTCCGATGCAAACTGATTGCAACAGAATGAAGAAAATCCCACGCCCTGTCTGAAATGGAATTCACACTGTTGAAGTTCGAAATCCACGCTACGTGCGTAAGTGCTATGCGTAACTCTTACCCTTGTCCGTGTCATGTTGTACTGGATGGTTCTTATCACAACTAGTATCAGGAGACTCCCAAGTGAGATCTCTGTTAAGACACGCTCAGCATACCAAGTGATATTTTTCAGTATCTGAAAAAAAAAAAGAACAAAGTTCTTCAGGACGTAGGTCTGAATAAGAACACAGAAAGTTGTCTGGACTCTCGCATTCCTTAAGATAGGTAAATTAGCTTCCAGCCTCTACTGTGACCACAACCTAGTGTATTCTAAAGTAAGAATATTAAATAAATAAACAAACAAATAAATAAATAAACCGACCTCTGCAGTATTATCGCCTAGTAGACCTCATGACTTTATCGTAAGTCACATGGAAACACACTAAGTGTAGAAAGACGATTAAATTTGGCAATTCCCTAATTTCTATGCCCTGTGCCACCACACTCCTATATTCTTTTCGATCTTACCCTTTACCCTGTATAAAGTCTCCAGTTCCACCCTAGCCACTTGAATAACATTGCCAATTCTTTCCCATTTTCCCTCCTTACAGGCTGGGCAAGAGGCAGCAGGTACAAGCTCTGACTGATTGGCAAGAGCGCACATGCTGAAGGACGCAGGGCAGATCAACGTTGACGTCACGCTGAAGCCCTTCTCTTGCCAGAGGTGAGGTCTCTTCCCTTAATAGGTCAGAGAAAGTCATCAGCTACGTTAAGAGCTTTGTGTCATTCAGTGCTCTCCACTATCAGGGTGGATGAAGTTTACCACCATTTCTGAGTTTATTACAGGAGGAGAATCAATCAGCTCCCCCAGCCGCTCCCCAGCAGCCTGGGGCTCCAGACCCCTCCCCAGCTCCGCTGCCCTTCTCTGGACACGCTCCAGCCCCTCCAGGTCCTTCGGGGAGGGAGGGGCCCAACCCTGACCCCAGCACTCGAGGGGCGGCCCCCCCAGTGCCCAGCACAGGGGCACGCTCCCTGCCCTGCTCCTGCTGGCCACACCACTCCTGATCCAAGCCAGGATGCTTTTCATACAGTGGAATACAAGTAGGCTATATAGGGGTCCTATAAGAATCCTAACAGCACAGCTGTCATTGCAGGTGACAACTTGTTTTTAAATGGAACATATTTCATCGGAGAGAAAATTAAAAGTTGTATTATAAAAAGAACACTTCAACCAGGAAGTTCTTACTCTCCCTTACCTAATTATCTTCCTGATCACTGTTTCTCTTCCATCAGTCCCTTTGGTATTGAATTTTCCCATGCTCCCTGCAGTTGGGTTTGGAATTTCACCAATCAGCCAACACACCGCTGTTGACCAATCTTTCCGATTATGGGTCTGGCATTTTACAGTATGCCTATCGCCAAATTTCTTTTCTGGTCAATAGCCTTAAATTTTGCAGTAAGTTTAAGACGCATACGCAGAGCACATGCCTCCCATAAAGCCCCATAAACTAAGGAAATGATTTATAGTACAGTCTGTCAAGCATCGAAGATCTTAAGATCTTCTACTACGCTGTTCATAGTACAGTCTGTCAAGCATCGAAGATCTTAAGTACTATGCTGTTTTGATGACCCAACAGACACTCAAAACACGGCAGCAATGCACGTTATGTTGAGAATGGGGAGCTTCGACTATAATTGTTTTGTGTCACCTGCTCTGAAATACGTACTCAAAAAGCCCTGTAACCGACATAAAATTCTGCTTCTTTCATCCATCAACTTTTGCTCTTAAATCCCAAACACGTATCTCCTAGGCTGTCTTTGCCTTAAGGGTTTCTTTTTGTTATCCGATGGGATCAAGTCCTCCCTCCCTTCCACGCCATACTCCCACCTATGCCTTTAAAAGCATTTGTATCAGCTCCAAACACAAAGCAAAGACCTATCCCATCAACTAAGATAACAAAGACCTTTTGAGAAACGCATCCAACGGTTCCTCTCTCAGCAAACTTTGCAGTCGTGACAGACCTATATGTGATTAATCCGAAACAGCAGCAGAATTAAAAAGAAAAAACCAATTTGTTTTTTAAAGGAACCATTCCCACAGGACTCCATTGGGGCAGAAAAGCAGCCACCACCTTCACACAGCTGATTTTCTTGGCTACCCCAGCCTGACGCCACCTGAAGCGCCCAGTTGCCCAGGCCACCCATCCTCTGAGAGCCAGCGAGGCACCGGCTTTTGGAATACTCCACCACGGAGCACCCCAAGCTGAGCTCTGCAAGAGATACTGTGGCTTTTCCTAGCATCTGTGATAGGAATATTGCTGGCAAAAATCAGGGTATTCTTTAACACAAGGCGATAGGGGATATTTCCCTTAGTGTTGTGTAGGATCCTACCATAAGTAACATTTAACAGTCAAGACATAATTACACGTACCTTTTATCAAAACTCTTAAGTCAATAGATTCTAAAGCAAAACCCAAGTGGAAAAAAAAAGAATCCTATGGAGCTCATTCCAGACCAGGGTAATACTTTATAAATAATATCTTTAAAATGCCTTTTTTTTTGGTTTGGGTTTTTTTTTAAATTTTTTAACTTTCCAGGCTCTGCAAATTCCATGTGCATGTACATTTCTTTCATTTACCTTCCACCCTCATTCTCTCTGTGTCTCTAGAAGCTCTTTCACAGTACAAGAGACATTTGAAATAGCATCTTAATTAGGATTCAAAGTCTCTCCTCCCTCACTTTATTCCTAGCCTATCTGAAAGCTTCTCTTTCATTAAATATTTTGGAGAAGACTGCATTTGCCTATGCTGAAAGGTCTTGGCGGTTTTTTGATGGACGTTCTAAAAAGGAGGAACCTCCTAAAAGGATTCTTACCCATTTATGCTTTAAAAATCACGCATACAAAGGCCTATGCAACAAGAGGTACAACCCAAATATCATTACAGACTAGAAACACTAAAAGGAAGAAAAGATATCGCCACTGAAGACACTTGGTAGGCTCAAGGAATTGATGTAGTAGGTAAGTTGATGAAGTTTGAGATACAGAAGTAAATTCTCTGCCATATATGAAGAGACAAAATAAAAGTTCAGATCATTAAATTAATCATAATAAATAATAATAATAAAAAAGTGTCTCCATTAAAACATGCTACCTAGTACCTGACTTTTTGTCAGCACCTATAGGAAAGACAGGAAAAATCTCTTTAGTAGGGACAACAGCTGTGACAGGACAAGGGGGGATGGTTTTAAACTAAACCAGGGGAGGTTTAGACTGGATCTAAGGAAGAAATTCTTTGCAGTGAGGGTGGTGAAACCCTGGCAGGGGTTGCCCCGAGAGGGGGTGGAGGCCCCATCCCTGGGAACATTCCAGGCCAGGTTGGACGGGGCTGTGAGCAACCTGATGTGGTTCAAGGTGTCCCTGCTCCTGCAGGGGGGTTGGGCTGGGTGACCTCTGGGCGTCCCTTCCAACCCAAACCATTCTGTGATTCTATTTCTCACAAGGAAGCTAAAGCAAAGCCAATGACTATAACCTACAGATGGGAAAAATCACTGTTTTAGAGTAGAGCAGTGCTGGCTAAGGTGACAAGCATGCCCAGCAAGAGGCTCAAGAGTGACAATTTCTGGTAAACACCTTTTGCTAAAAGGATAGAAAAATGAGAATACGGGGAAGAGGGAAAGACTTGAGAGGTATTTAAGGGAAGAATGGTCAAGGCTGAGGAACAAATAGGAAATGAGAAATCACTACAAGAAGGGTTTCCACATATAGCACGCTATGAGTGGATGCGGAAACAGGTATAATTTGGGGTTATAACAAGTCACTAATACTATTTTAAGACAAAGTGATGATGGTATAAATGAAAGCAAGTCATCCGAGGAGTTTCAGTAAACAAGGACAAGTAGTCAGGACGGACAACATAGACGATTAACAGGAAGAGCCTGAAAGACAAAGAAAAATCCACATGTACTTTCACAAAACAGGCAACTGAAAAGTTAAAAAGCTGTTAGTTGTGGAATGAATGGATGACACATATGAACTTCACTGCAAGAGACACTCTGCTAGAGGAGAACATCATCATCCCGAGGCTGCTGAACATAAAGCTGTGATCAGATACAGCAAGTTAGTGGGTTACTTTGTAAGTGCAAAGTGCTAAAATAAGCGTAGACGGTCACTTTGGTTGCGATTAACTGTTTGTGATTTCTTAGAAACAGCTTGCTTATGACCATGTGAATGTATTTGTTTTCAAGAGATTTTATATAAATAAATAAACCACTTTGATGACAAAAAATATCTCAAACTGAGCACTGGAACCTTCCTGGAGAAAAATATACTGTTATTCGAAGACTCGTATAGGATCATTAAGTAATGGTTACATTCTGTAATATATAAATATAACAGGGATAAGTTGTGGTTGCACATTTCATTTCCCGACTTCTGAATGCTTAGAGTACTGAAAATTAAGCATACTTTTAAAAACAAAACACAACTATGAGAAGAGGTAGTATAAAATACTATTTGTTTTGACATGACACACAATGGAAATCCAAAGCAACAGTACCCAAAGGGACATATTTCCAGATGCTTACTGAAAAGAAAGAATTTTACTCAGTTTGCTCTGAAGTGATACCCAAGGGTTGAGGTTTTTTCCCCGAGATAAAATACACTTACCCAAACAAAAAAGATCAACTTGATGATTAAATCTCTAATAAGCTCTTTCTTACAGTCTCTCATTTCTGAGCAAAATAGCAATGCAACCTCCTCCCACGAATAAATAAGGCCCATCTATCTTCCCACCCCCCTTGGTGTTATTTTGTGGGGCACATCCCTGTACTGTACCAACCAAAGTGGAAGTTCCTTGATTCATACTATGATGGATCTCAGGAGTCTCAGGTCCCATCATGTGCTCTCTCATAACGGGTGTCCCCACAGGACAAGAGGACTGGGACTGGAACAAGTCAGATAACCTCAAGTAGGTCCTTGAGCCCACCAACATCTCCAGTCACATCTTTCTCATCCACCTATGGTTCCCTGTGCTATGCACAAGCCTTCACCCTTCCTATTTTTCCTCTCCTGTAGCCCATACCCACCAGCTCCTTGCCCTTCCAAACCCCATCCCTTCTCAAAACTCCTTCTCAGCTTCCACTTCCCCCACCCACACCTTGTCCATTCCAGTCTCTCATCAAAATGTTCTGTCACTC